AGGTTGATGTGAGCACACACACTTTATTGTCTGTTCTTCCACACTGATGTCCTGATTTATAGGACTGACAGTTTATAGGACTGACAGCTGAGAAGAGTCACTGTCACTGTACAGGTTGTTGACAGGTTGTTTTAGGTCTGTATTAGCAGGTTCTTTGTCTTTTTACTGGTTGACGGGGAAAATAGCAGTTGTTGTGGATGTTTGACTGCATCTATGTGGCTAATAAAGCTAATAAAGTAAAGCTCTCTCTCTCTCTCTCTCTCTCTCTCTCTCTCTCTCGTTTTTGTCAAATCGTGAGCACTTTACAAATATGAGAAATAAATGAGCCCATACACTAAAAGGTATTATTATATATATATATATACCAAGGTTGTGGTATTTTTTAAAGTTTTTATTAAATGTATATATAGCAAAGTATGTGTATTGGATATGTGGTGCAGTGAATGCTAGGGATATGAATCCTCACCACTGAGGCCGATTCGATACACATCTCGATAGGCTGCCAGCGATACGATACATTAACGATACAGTGGACCCCCCTGCCGATACGATGCGATACGATTCACCTCTGTTCACGATGCGATGCGATTCATTTATGATTTGACAACGATTTGACTTTATACAATGCGATTCGGTTCGATACGATACGATTCATGATGCGATTCAACACAATACAAAGGATTTACAAGCCCACATCTGGTTTCTAATGTATTTGATACTTGATTGTTTTCTATAAAGCAAACCAATGAATCCAATTTAAAAAGAAGATGCAACTCAATATGGTGCAGACAGAGGATTGGTTTATTCCTAATAAACACTAAATCATAAAAAAAGAATATCATCAATTGAGAATTATACAACAATATAACAGTTAAACAAAAATACAAAATATCAACTGCTTACAAATGTAAGTGTAAAAAAATGTAACTATTGACTCACAGTCACAGGAACTGTAAACATCACTCACACTGAGGTATATCAACGATATAAAAGTAAAGTGTAAATGTAAAGACTTCTAGTCTTTCTTTTCAAAGTGCAAAGTCCACACTACTGCTGCACTCCCTTGTAGTGAGGAAAATAAAGTGTTGATGTGATTTCTATAGAACAAAAAATAAATAAAGAAAACCTTTGGTAAACAGGTCTTTCATAACTGCTGCATACTTATGCTTACTTATGCATACAGCATAATTTGCTGTTTGCAAAAAGTATTATTGGCAATCACAGGCTGCCAATAAGTTATTTATTTCATATGGCTTAGTGTCAGGTTTTTTTTTCCAGGAATATTTGTTGGTCAACATGTTCAGGAAGAAGCAGACTGCGCTGTGCTGTCACTATGTCACCAGCTGTGCTAAAGACATGTTCTGATGGGACACTTGTTGCAGGGATGGACAAGTAGCTTCTGGCCAATTTGGAAAGCAGTGGAAGATCCTCCTGTTCTTTCCACCACTGCAACCATCACCATTCAGAGCTAAACAATCCCTCCCCCTGTACTTTGCAATTTCCTCCTTAGCTCTATCCCTTGTGCTCTTCTTGTGGGCTCTTGGAGTGAGTAAACCTCCAAACATCTGGTCCAAGGGTGACTTCTTTTTGGGTGGCTCTGGGAGTAGAGAAAATAGAGAAATAAAATTCAATTCTGTACAATATTTTTACAATGATATCCTACCAATTTTCAAATCAACTCACTACAATATAGTTAAGTTTTAAGTTCATAACAAAGAACAAAATAAAACAAACCTGTCTGTGCCTCTTCCTCCTTCTCTTCGTCGCTGTCATCCCATCTGTGGGAGCTCTGGTGGTCACCTACTGGTTCAGCTGCCGGTCTCTCATTCAGTGTGCCATCGTCCTCTGTCTGACAATAATCAGCACATATAAGCTATTAGATTTCTTTAAACTAAAAAAAGATAAAAACAACAGTTAAGAAAAGCAGAGTAAATGTAAGGGTGAGAGTGAGACAAAGACACTAGATACAATATACTGAGCATTTTCTTACCATTTCCTCCACTTCTGCTGTTATCCTCAGGAATATGGTGTCCCTAGTGTTGTCGTCATCCAGGAATTCCAGCTCTTTGAAGCGGGGATCAAGTGCTGAGGCTTTGTTGAGGAGGTCTTGGATATATGTGTAGCGGGTGTCAAAGTCCTGTCTGAATTTCTCCTTCATCTCGAAAATGACCTGTAGATCACTGTCATCTGGCTCAAAATCCTCCCGCAGTTTGGCCGTGTTGGGGCAATGATTGAGATGGTGGGGGTCTTTTCCCCACTGAGGCACTTAGTTGCCACTTTGAGCGGGGTCATCAGTTTGATGATCTCTGGGAGTAGGGTCAGTTCTTCATCTGTGATGCTGGGCAGGCCTTTTGTCTTTACTCTCCTGGTTGTCAGCGACAGTGTCACAGCAGGCTGCTGTTCCCAGAAACGCTCCATCATCTCCAAGGAACTGTTCCACCTTGTGGAAACATCATGCACTGGTTTGTGGTGTTTCAGGTGCAACTGGGTTTGGATTTCATGCAGCACTTCACATGCTTTTAGGGCTTTTGTGGAAATAGGTCACTATCCTCCTCATTTTTACCAAGAGTGCTGACACTGTGTCCACTTGTAGTGCTTTTTGAGAGGACAAATTAAGTGTGTGTGTGATGCATCGTACATGTGGCTTCATCTCTGCAAGTGTTCCAGACAGTAACATATTTGATGCATTATCGGTGACCAATGCAGGCTTCTTTCCTTCAATCTTCCACTCGCAGCAAACATCACGCAGTAAAGCTGCCAGATCTTCTCCTTTGTGTTCCTCATTGAACGCTCTGGTCTGGAGAACAGGGGTTTTCATGCTCCACTCATCATCAATATAGTGTGCAGTGACTGTTATGTATGACTGAGAAGCACAAGACGTCCAGCCATCCACTGTGATTGCAACTCGCTGTGCATTGCTCGGGGACTCAACTATCTCTCTCCTCACTTTGTTGTACAAAGCAGGGATGTGTGTGTCCCCCTAACTGGTATTTTGTACCTAGGGTCTAAAATATGGAGGAGTTGTCGGAAGCCCTCGTTCTCTACAACACTGTATGGCTGAATATCTTTACAGATAAAATAGGCGATGGCGCTGGTTATTGCCTGCGAGCGGGCAGAGGTAGCTGCCAGGGGAGTGTCAGAGTTAAAAAAAACTAGAGATACTTCTCTCACCAGTTTTGCTGCTGTTCGCTTTAGATTTATGTGCATCAGTATCATCTGAGGAAGAAGTGGGGGGAGCAGAAGTATCCACGCCATGCCGCCTTTTCATGTGAGTTGCCATGTTCGTCGTGCTGCTAACGTATTTTATAGCAGCACGACACGGTTCCTACACAACGAATAATTTAATTCACGCACATATTTCTAACCAGCCAGCATTACTGGTCTATACAGGAGCAGCTGCGTCAGACGGTCCGACTTAAATGACACCGAATGATGCTTCTGACCTCAGATGTACAATGTGTAGGTTTCTAGAAGAGAAACGCAAATTTCAGCACCACTGATCTGTGTAATCAGACCAAAAGACATGTCCTGTGATTTTAATCATTCGCCACGTGTGTTTGTTGACATTAGAACAGCTGTAGAGAACGGGAGTTCAGCGGTAGTTTAGTAATCCACAGTAGTACTGTTGTGTAGGAACCGTGACGTTTTGGCACCGCCAGTACCATGCTCTCTCTGCAACCTGTTCTGTTTCGATCTCAAAAAGAAATGTTTTGATTGCCACTTACTTAATCTATTCTATCTGATTGAATAATAAAAGAACAAAATTCTCTCCATATATCTCCAAGAGAAAAAAAGTCTTTAAACAGCCCTTAAATCACAGAGCAAATAAATAAGTCACAGCTTGTTCTTGTGTTATAGCTACTTAAATCTAGACTGTCACTCTATATTTCACACACTGGTTGGCCAAAAATATAACATTAGCTCTATTGAACACACACATCTGCAAAAAACATCCTCAGAAAATAGCGTTTCAGATTTCATGGCGGTATCCAAATAACAAACTACATGTTAATGTTCAATGCTTCACTTGGTTTGCAGGCTGCTGAGCCAGCTAGTGCAGTGTAGTTGGACCTTTAGCTGCTCATTAGTGCTAGATAAAGTTTTCCTCCACATTCAGAGGGAGCTACAATATAACTAAACATTAAATTACCATAGCTCTCAATCGACAGAGTTCAGTGTTTTTATCGTTGTTGTGTTGTTGATGTTGTAACTGTGACCGTCCTCCTGCTTCACGGACCAGCAGCAGGTGCAGGTGCTCCTCTCATGGGTCACCTGACCTGCATGGCCAAACGTCAGCTGAGCAGAAATCAGCTCTCACAGCCCAGGTTTTCTACTAGTTTAAGCACTTTTGTCTTTGTTGTAACCAAATGAAGAAGTCGTACACACAGCACTGTATACTGTAGACGTCGCTCTCGAGCTGCAAGTCGCGATTACAAGACAAAACGAACGCAGGTGCGTTTCGTACTGTGTTAGTTAAACATGTAAAACTGGCCCTAAATCAGTTGATCAGCTGTCCTCATTGATTGACAGCATTTCTCTTGTTTCCGTTTCTTATGTTGACGAACTTGACCAACTTCCTATCAGATCTGGGGTGGCCAATGAGCTTTCAGGGGTGGCCCCGGCCAAACCAGGCCACCGCCCAGAATCGCCATTGCTCCTCGCAGCTCGGTCCTTTACCCACCCGACTTTATCAAATCAAGATGAAAACGTTATTTTTGTTGCTTCTCTTCTGTCACGTTTCATCAGCAGGTAAGATCACATTTGAACTCTTTAAGCTCTTTGCTTCACTTTCCACTCGGCTCTGCATTTGACTGCGATAACGTGAGCCACAGAGTGCATTTGGCTCCCTGTAGCTCCAGAAAACAGCACTTTAGTTTCACAATTACTTAAACTTCATAAGACTGACTTTATATGTTTTAATAGAATCATAGGCTGCTGACTGAATACATCAGATTCATGATGGGTCTTTACTGAATGTATAAACTGTGTTTGTCCTGCAGTCAAACACTCTCTGAAGATATTTCGAACTGGATCCAGTGGAGTCCCAAACATATCAGAGTTTGTAGGATCTCTAGAGGTTGATGGAAGTCTGGTCGGTTACTGCGACAGCAACAAAAATATAGTAGAACCAAAACAGGACTGGGTGAAAAAGATAATTGAAGATGATCCTCAGCACTTTCAGTGGTACACTCAGGAGTGTTTTCAGAGTGGGCCAAACATATTCAAAGTGTGGATTAATAATTTGAAGCAGCACCTCAACCAAAGTGGAGGTAAAGTATTTATGTATATTATATTTTACTTTTTACTACTAAAATGATTTGCATCCTGGTTTGTTGTTTGACACACAGATATAGGATAGCTAACATCTGCATATTAATGAATTTGAACTTGGACTGCATCTGAGACTGCAGGTGTCACACAGGTGTGACTTTGTTTTAATAAGAGTTTAATGTGCATATAATTCAACATACCCACTTTGTATACTGCCACTGACACTCATCTGTCAATTCATACAACAGTAGCTACTATTGTAACTTTTAGCTGTGGAAAATAAATTGGGTTTCATCACTCAGATAAAGTGCACTGATTATCTGCTCTTGAATCATGATCACACCACAAGACACAAGTGTCACACAATGCACAATATTTATAAGATCATCTTTCCACTGGAGATTTCATCTGTATTCTGCACATTGTTAATTACTGTCTCTGTTTCTGTCTCTGTCTCTCTCTCAGGTGTCCACATTTTACAGGACATATCAGGATGTGAGTGGGATGATGAGACTGGAGAGGTTAATGGTTTTAATCAGTTTGGTTATGATGGAGAAGACTTCATATCTTTTGACCTGCAGACATTGACATGGATCGCTCTGAAACCTCAGGCTGTCACCACCAAACTGATGTGGGACACTGACAAAGCTAGAATAAAAGTCAAGGAAATTGACCTCACTAAGATTTTCCCTGGGTTACTGAAGAAGTATTTGGTCTTCGGCAACAGCTCTCTGCAGAGAAAAGGTAAAATCACATGACCTGATTTAGTTTGACTGAACTGCCATTGTATTATTACTCCAGTCAGTTTGACGTTATCTTATTTTTGGCTGTTGAAGGTATTATTTGATTTAGCCCTGACCAATCAGTAGAGACTGACAGTTGTAGGTGCTCTACATTACTTTCCATCAAAGCTGATACTGTGATAGCCAGACAGTGCACCACTAGCATGAGGTAAGTAAGTTTACACAGATTGTATGGATGGTATCATTAAGGTTATAACAGTACTACTATTACCAATACTGCTTATCGATCCATTACTTTAATCTTATCAGTTCTTTTATTTTTCATGATATATATAAATCGATAGATAGAACTTTGATTTTGTCCAAATGTTGTTATCAGAAATGTTTAGGTCATCCAGGTTTTTATGTCCTTAAGGCCTTTGATCATATCTGGTAAAAAAATGCCAACTAAGGGTAAAACTTCTTTAAGCAGCTTATTTGGGATGGGGTTTAAGAGACAGGTTGATGGCTTAGATGAAGCAATAGTTGAAGTTGATTGGTGGTTGACAGCAGAAAAGCAGTCTAAATATATATATCTGGGTTTACAGCTGTTAAGATTCCTGTGTTAGAAGAGACTTCAGTACCTGTTGAGAGCAGGAGGGGATTCATTTAGTCTCTAATAGTAATGATTTTATCATTAAAGAAGCTCATGAAGTCGTTGCTGCTGAGAGATAAAGGAATACATGGCTGGCTACAGTGCTGAAAGATACCTGGTTGTTTCTCTTGTCCTGTTAATGATGAACAGTAGGCTGCTCTGGCATTACAGAGGCCCTTTCTATATGCTTTAAGACTATTTCTTTCAAATTTCTTATTTGCTTTAATTCACAAGGTTGGTGGTAATACCATCGGGTTAACCTCCTATGTTTTAATTAATATATTCCTTTAACATATTATTCATGGCACAGCCAGGTCTCAGTAAGCCTAAATAAATCTGTATGATAATCTGATATTAATTCATGAATCAGTCCATATTTAATTATTTTATTTTGTGCTGTTGTTGTTTACTTCCTCTTTAAATAATTGAAGTGGTCAGGGGACACAGTCTCTGTGGGGTTCTGGGTGGGTATCTGCTCTAACTAAAGTGCAGAGAAGCGTGTAGGACTGCAGCTCTGCCTCCTGCTCTCAACTCTGGGTTGTCAGGTTTTAGGTTCAGAAATAAACAGTCAGATTTGTAGATAAGAGAGCTGCTCTGTCCAAAGTGGGATGGATGCTGTCTCTCCTAATCAGACCAGATTTTCCCCAGAAAGTCAGCCGAATGTCTATGAAGCCCACATCATTTTCTGGACCCCACCTTGAGCCAGCGGTGGAAGGATGACATGCAGCTGAACATGTCATCACAGTTCATCATTGGTTCAGTTAACTCTGTGTGTGCTCTAAGCTGCTAGCATAGGCTGCTTAACATACCTGAGGTGGATTACTGCTTATCTTCTACCACCATCAGAGGTCATATACTGACATGTTTTTTTTTTCTTTTTGACCTGACTGACTTTGACCTCTGTAATTTAAAATGACTCATAATACAGATAGATGCAGCATGTCTTTAATTGCTTATATCTGTCCCATTTTCTCTTTCCCTGATTCCTCCCTCTTGAATTTGTCTTTCTCTACCCCCTATCCGTTTTTTCTCTCTCTCTCTCTCTCTCTCTCTCTCTCTCTCTCTCTCTCTCTCTCTCTCTCTCTCTCTCCAGACCTTCCCTCAGTGTCTCTCCTCCAGAAGACTCCCTCCTCTCCAGTCAGCTGCCACGCTACAGGTTTCTACCCTGACAGAGCCTTGATGTTCTGGAGGAAAGATGGAGAGGAGCTTCATGAGGACGTGGACCACGGAGAGATCCTCCCCAACCACGATGGATCCTTCCAGATGAGTGTTGACCTGAACCTTTCATCAGTCACACCTGAAGACTGGAGGAGGTACGACTGTGTGTTTCAGCTCTCTGGTGTGAAGAACGACATTGTTACCACACTGGACAAAGCAGAGATCAGAACCAACTGGGGTAAGACTGGAAATAGTTTTGTCTGTCTACTAAAGCTAGACCTCCATCATAACTACAAAGTTTATGTCCTAAAACTTGTGTTGTCAACTCCACTGTTATGTAGCTGTTGTCAACTGTAGAAGGGTTGATTGGATGTTAACTCAGTTAACTATCAGTTATGACAGCGTTGTACTCTTCAAAAAGGTTGATCGGATGTTAACTCTTCGCTCTAATTTTACATCTTAATCCTCAGATTGAGTATTAATCTGGTTTACAACTTGGGTCATATTTTCATAGTTTTGGCCGTCATTTCTATCAGTTATGACAGCGTTGTACTCATCAAAGTCCTCAATAATATCTGGGGACACAGTGACATCAGTACAACACACAAGCATGTAAGTGTGAAACAAGATTCTTAGCTCTGAGCTCTCAAACACATGTAAGTGTCAAAGGAATCCAGAACTATACTTTTCATGTGACTGAAATACATTCTGTTTCTCACTTTACTGTCTTATTCACACAATCTGCTCCTCACACTTCAATACTAAAGTGAATCCTTTAAACTAAACATATTTATCTCCTTCCAGTGGGAGAGACAAAGTGTGAATGTTCTGTTTTGGCTCCAGTTTCTCCCTCAGAGTTTCCTGCTGGTGCTGTTATTGGAGTTGTTGTAGGACTGCTGCTGCTGGCACTCTGCATCACTGGACTCTTCATCTGGAGAAGGAACAATAATGGTGAGTGAAGCCATTTTTACTCCACTGGATTGAACATGTTCAGTAACTTTACTGCCAAAAGAACACAGAGGTCCTCAGCAGACGTACTGTATATACTAAGTAAAAGAGTTGCTCTCCTACATTTTTATTCAGAGCAGAGATCTGTGACAGTCATGAGGAATTTCTTCCTATAAATGTGTTTTATTTTGTGTCCTGTCATACATTCTGATTTAACTTTGTTAATCTCTCATCTGTATTTCAGGATTCAGAGCTGCAAACAGTACGTTTTTTTTTTAATGAAAAATAAAATATATTTGTTTTATTATTTTATTATGAAGACTTTAATGTGACTGTCATTATTTACTCCTGAGTATTAGTAATCAATCATTCATCTTCATACATTCCTGTCTCTCATTTATAATTATATAATTTAAATTTATTTCACTTTTTGCTTCTAGCTTCAGATTCCTCATTGCCATTGGACAAAACTCCAGCTCCTAACTGATCACAGTGAGTATGTCATTGTTTCAACAAGGCTGTGCACATATTATGTTCACCGACATAATGTACAATATCCTTCCCACCTGAATTACATGCAGCTTATTTTTATAATTTACAAAAACATTCTGCATGAGAAAGAATTTTCTCAGTCCATCCATTATAACTACAGGAAGCAGATGGCTCTGGGGTTTTATGATACTACTCCAGAAATCAAAAGTGGAAAAAGTTTTCAGATCCTTTACTTAAGTACATGTACCAACACAACAATGTAAGAATACTCTGTTACAAGTCAAAGTCCTGCATTCAAAATCCTACTGTATTCAAAGTATTCGTTATGATGAAAAATGTTAGAATATTACAGGTGGAGCTACTTTTTACTGCTTTATGTACAGTTTATATATAGAAGTATAAAGTAGCATAAAATAAAAATAAAATGAAGTTCCACCACTGTCAGAAACAGATAATCACTTAGTATAAACTTAGCATGAACTTTGATTTCTCTTTTCATTTATTAATCTGTTTTTACAGGTTCCCTCTGAAGATAAAAGAGAACTCCAATGACGTTACCGTGGCATCCAAACCATTTCTTTTCCAGAGAGCACTTTATTCTCATTTGTAGAAGACTTTTTTATATTATAGTATAGTTTATATTATTAGGTACTAGAACTCATCTTTCTTTGGTAATTAGGAAGAAGTCCAGTCATGGGAGACACAGTCATATCCAACCCTTTATTTCTCACATCATGGACTGTATGATGTATCTTTCAATTCTTTCTTTTAAAACACTGCACTACTAATGACTGAACCCCTGTTGTCTTCCAGTTGTGTCACAAAATCTCAGTGTATAAAGATCACTGAATGGCTTTGTCCCAACATATATCACTGACTTGCTTGTACAGTATGTAACACGTAGGCCTACACATGCATGCACACAGTTGAGGGATCACAGTGTTTGTTGATTTTACAAAACCTCCATGAGGTTTAGACAGTGCACTCAAGTGAGCGACTCATTGTGATGTACAGTATAATGCTACAGGTATATAGTCACAGGTGTGTTGAAATGCTATGTTCAAATGTTCAGTAAAATGATGTTCATTTAGGATCTTGATCCAGTGTTTGTTTTTGGGTTACTCCTTAAATACTTTTCAACAGACTGCTTCTGTCTCTAATGATGGTGCTGACAAAAATAGTCATTTTAAATGTTGTATTGACGTCAATGACTGGAATTTAATCTCTGAATGTGATGGAAACATTTCTTGATCTGAGTTTACAAGGAACGAATGTCTTACTGCAACAGTTTTATTGTTGTAAGTATCAATTTTCTGTTAACTGATAATAAAAATCATTATTTGGATTTAAGTAAACTGTCTTTGGTTCTTTCTCCCCTGGTCATTTTTATAAATGTGTTACTCCCCACAACCCCTGGACATCTCTGGGACCCCTGAACCCGACCTCAGGAAACAGTATTAAGCACTTCCTAGAATTAGAAATTTCCCATGATCCTTTGATGATATATGGGAATGAGGTGTTCATTTGCAACAGTTTCGTCTTACAGTCTACTGAATAAGGACATCAAATGTGAATAAATAGAAGTACGTCAATCAGGTTTAACTTTGTACAAGGAAATCAGTGATCTGAACTGATGAAGCTTTGGTGACCCCTAGTGGGGGCCGGGAACCCTAGGTTGGGAGTGTTAAAGGAGAAAAAATTTAGTTCTTATACACACATATTGTATTCATTTCAAGTCACAAGTCAAATATAAAGTACCATAAGATGGTCAAATTTCACTGCTGCCAGAAACAGATGAATGACTTTACTTAAATTAAAATGAATAATGTCCAATATGAACTCTAATAAGTTTCTAATAGTTTTTTAACTTTTCATTGTTTAATTTGATTTGACAGATTAAAAGAGTGAAGATTAATAGAGGACTCCAGTGATGTTACTGCGGCATCAAAACCTTTTATTTTCTACAGAGTACTTGTTTCTAATTTGTAAAAGTCTTTTTTTAAGTGTCAGTCAGAGCTGACAGAAGCATTAATGTAGAGAGAGACACAGTCATGTTCAGCCCTTTAGTTGTCACATGATGGATTTCTGTTTGATGTTTCCACTTTGGAAACACACTAATGAATCCTCTGTCTGCATTAAACTCCATTGTAAACTACTGTCTTTCAACTGTGTCACAAAATCAAATCTATCAATCTGAATGTCTTAGCCCCAACATATACCACTGAGCTGCTTGTGCAATATCAAACTGTGGGGCCTCTGAGATCTTCTGGAACTGCTTTTTAACACTCTGAATGTGTATATATCACAGATCATTTTATGGTTATTTGTTTCATGTTTACTGTTTTTTATGATCTGTTCTTGTCTGAAGTACTGCACCTTACATTTTGTGTGTTATGGGTTATGGTTAGGGTAAGTCTGTTTTCTGTGTGTGTGTGTGTGTGTGTGTGTGTGTGTGTGTGTGTGTGTGTGTGTGTGTGTGTGTGGTGTGTGTGTGTGTGTGTGTGTGTGTGTGTGTGTGTGTGTGTGTGTTTTAAATCCCTCCTGTTAATCCAGATATGAGTTATTTTACTTTTGATTAACAAATAAAACTACTTTGGAAATCTAATTGATGTTTCTTTTATTTATTCATTTATTTGTTCATTTTTGAGTTGGTAGTCTGTTAAGGATTCCTCCAGTTCATGAAATCCCTGCAGCACCTGAAGGCAGCAGGACTGTATGTTGATACCAGCATCAGTGCAGAGCCAGAGCTCAGTCTCATTGAGTACAGTCATTCACTGTATTAACCTTTATTAAATCACCTGAATACGACAACAGGCTGCTACTGTGTAACCATACAGACCTCTACACCAATCTTTCTGGTCGGTTATAACAGAAAGTACAATGCGTCAGTTTGTACCTTTGTAAAACTGGGCCTGAATATAAAATGATCATAACTGCATATTATTAAAAAAATATTAATGATAACTTTTTTTAAATCCAGTAATAAACTTCTGCTGAGGCTCATGTCCCACCAGCCTGAAAGAGCAGGACGCCACAGGACATAATGCACAACCAGGGTGTAAACATCTACTGCTCAATGTCAGCAACACCAAAGAGACACAGAGGAGAGATAGAAAGTATTCTGACTGGAAACATCACAAACTGACATGGGATGTGCACGGCCCAGAACAGGAGGACACTGCAGCGGGTGATTAAAACCACTCAGAAGATCATTGGTACTCAGCTGCCCAGCATCAGTGATACTGCTGAGGTGAGATGCCTGCACAGAGTCCAAAGGATACTAAAAGACAGCACCCACCCCAGACACACCCTGCTGCCATCTGGGAAGAGGTACAGAAGCTTCTGCTGCCGAACCACCAGACTGCAGAGCAGCTTCTTCCCTCAGGCAGTGAGGCTGTTGAACTCTTCCACAATTCATCATACAAATGAATAGGGGGGAAACTAGCATTTGTTGAGGGAGGTGGTGTCTTTGAGAGTGATAAAAAGAGAGGCTGTATTTTGTCACAAATAGATTGTTTTAAGATCATTAGTAACGGATGCTCTTGCTCCAATACATATCACTCATTCTTAGTTAAGTCACAACTAGTGAGAGGTGGATGAAGCTGTCTGGAGCTTTGGGGCTTCAAATGCAGCAGCACAGTGACATCTGGTGGCAACAGCAGCCCTTCACGACTGGAGCCAAAGCACCACAACACCTCTCTGATTTTAATGCTTTTAGTCTCATAGGTGTGCAATAAAAGTCCAAGAAGCCTGTGTGTTATCATTATATCTGTAATACTGTTTACTGACATAAAATATAAATGTACTTTACTGATTTATTTTAGATCCCAATATGAGGAACTCATTATCATAACAAACAAACAACCAACCAGTACAGTAAAATAAGTCCAAATTGTACATATATATATAAAACGCCTATATGTTTCTTTTAGGCCACGCGGAAACACTCTGACAACAGCTCCCTTTATCACGGTGACGCACTCTGTGGCTCACATTACAGTAGAAACCACAGCGGACCCAGCTCGCTCTTTACCCACAAGTCTCAACCAAAAACACAATGAAAAAAGTATTTTTGTTGCTTCTCTTGTGTTACGTTTCATCAGCAGGTAAGATCACATTTAACATATTTATTTTTATTGCATTTTGCTAAAGACAAACAAGAATTTCACCTTGATAAGACTGTATGTTGGGAATATGAATCATACTGAATAGCCTGCATCATATTTAAAATATGTGTCTATGTATAAATGTATTAAACCTAGTTTTTCCTGCAGTGAAACACTCCCTGAAGTTTTTCTACACTGCATCTGCTGGAGTCCCAGACTTCCCAGAGTTTGTGGTTGCTGGAGTGGTTGATGAGATTCTGTCCGGTTACTGCGACAACAACAAAAATATAGTAGAACCAAAACAGGACTGGGTGAACAAATTATTTGAAGATGATCCTCAGCACTTGCAGTGGTACACTACAAAGTGTTCAGATGATGAGCCGCACTTCTTTAAAACCACACTTGATAATTTGAAGCAGCGCTTCAACCAAAGTGGAGGTACAGTATGTAGCCCACTATGTTATATTTCACTGTTTACTGTTAAACTGTTCTGCATCTTAGTTGTAAAGTAAATAGACCGCCATCACATTGCTTTGAAAACCTGGAACCACTAGCTGCCAGTCAGCATGTTATCCATAACTCAGGAACTGGTTAGACTTGTTTGCTCTGTCCAACACAAACTACTCATCATACTGAGAAATTCAAAACATCCATCTATAGTCAAAATATCCTCACAATTACAAACACACAGGAAAAGTACAGCCTCCATTTTCTTCATTGATTTCTTCAAATAATTTGACTGAAGGGGCTTAACATCCATCTGTACAGGTTTCAGTCCAAGAATCACACCTTCACACTCGAGTTTTGTGTTGTAATAATAACATACTAACTACGTAAGATTCTGATCTTGTATCTGGAACATTTGGAACTAACTTTATCCACCTGTAGTTAAGGGAATAAAGAAAACAAGGGGGAGACAGACGCAAAAAAGTCTTCAGGTGGTCCGACCAGGGATGTTGTAGTTCATGGTCGACAAAAGAAAAGAATGTGTAACAGAAATTGGGTTTCATCACTCATATAAAGAAAAAGTACACTTATCTGCTCTTGAATCATGAACACACCACGAGATGAAGATGAAAATAGAAGTGCGTTACACACTGCCCAATATCTGAGATCATCTTCATCTGTACATCGTTGTTAATTGCAGTCTCTGTTTCTGTCTCTCTCTCAGGTGTCCATGTTTTACAGAGGATGACTGGTTGTGAGTGGGATGATGAGACTGGAGAGGTTAATGGTTTTATTCAGTATGGTTATGATGGAGAAGACTTCATATCTTTTGACCTGAAGACATTGACATGGATCGCTCCGAAACCTCAGGCTGTCACCACCAAACTTAGATGGGATGATGACAAAGGTAGAATAAAATACAATGAGAATCAGCTCACTGAGATTTTACCGGAGTTCCTGAAGAAGTATGTGGACTATGGAAACAGCTCTCTGCAGAGAAAAGGTAGAATCACATAACCTGATTTAGTTTCATGAACTCAACAATGTTCCTATAATCTGCTCAGACTGAACTGCCATTGTATTATTATTATTACTCCAATCAGTGTGATATTACCTTATGGCAGTTTTCTGTGCAGTAAGATTTGATTTAGTCCTAACCAGTCAGTAGAGACATTTTTGGGTGCTCTGAGGTTACTTTCAATCAAAGCTGATACTGTGACAGTCAGTGTTTTAGTATGACTTAAATCAGTTTACAGAGTTTCATTGTTTCAAAATAGAAATAGTTCCACTGAATATTGACACTGTGTTTGAGTACTTTGCTGTGAACCACAAAGGCAGATCCTTCTTCTCTGACTGGAGTGAGTTTCTTCAGTGGTTCTCTCATTTGTCTATATAGAGACAATGTGGTGGTTGTTATGAGGGGCTGTCATCTCTCTCTCTCCCTCTCTCTCCTCCAGACCTTCCCTCAGTGTCTCTCCTCCAGAAGACTTCCTCCTCTCCAGTCAGCTGCCACGCTACAGGTTTCTACCCTGACAGTGCCACACTCATCTGGAGGAAAGATGGAGAGGAGATTCATGAGGACGTGGACCACGGAGAGATCCTCCCCAACCACGATGGATCCTTCCAGATGAGTGTTGACCTGAACCTTTCATCAGTCACACCTGAAGACTGGAGGAGGTACGACTGTGTGTTTCAGCTCTCTGGTGTGAAGAACGACATCGTCACCAAACTGGACAAAGCAGAGATCAGAACCAACTGGGGTAAGACTGACATTAGAGTGTGCTGAATGGGACTGAACGCCTGTTGGTTGTTTGTGTTTGTATCAATCTACAGCTAACCTCGCATTCTACTGGACCCCAGCCTCATATTTTTTGTACACATGTATGACTGTGTGCTCAAGGACCTCTTACTGTTGTGGTGACTCACAATAATGGTGGGAGATATAGACAAAATCCTCTATCACAGTATATGGAATTATAACTTTCTATCACAATACAGTAACTGAAAATGTTGACAAACAGCACTGAAAATGTCCTTTATTGAAAAGGATAAAAAGGCCAGAAGAATCAGGGTTAGGGTTGTGCAGCATTAGGGCACTGGAACTTCTTTCTGTACAATTCAGGCACTGCTAAATTCTGAACCAATTTTCAGAAAATCCGTTTTTTTAGAAACATTAGAAATTGTTTATTGGTTCCTTATTAAGTTTATACCGTTAGGGGAACCCAAGACGATCAATAACAATATCAATACACTAGTCTATGCATCTTATACTATACTAGTAGTCCACAGGAACAAACCCATACATATGTATGAATAAACTGTTGAATGGATGGATGTACTTCTGTTCTGCTTTATCTGTACTGGTCTTGTTTTTATTTGGTTGCTTTCTTGTTCAACAGAGAAGTCCAGTGACATGACCGTGCCCATCACTGCTGCAGCAGTTGTTCTTGTTCTCATCTTTATCACTGCAGTTGGACTCATGGCTTACAAAAAGAAGAAAGGTGAGAGAGAAAATGGAAAGATTTCAGTTCAGTATCTTTTAGTCTTTGAGTTGATGCTTTTATCCAGGTTGCACAACAGAAACAAGCATCAGTTCCCTGCACCACAGAATTTAAAGCAACCAACAGTAAGCAGTGTCAGGCTCAGAGCCTGTGAGTCATGATAATTTGACCTTACCAAGATGATGTGGGAGAGAAGTGATGAGTAGTTTTAGTGAGTAGAAGAGAAGATCATATTCACTGGGGATAAGATGAAGAAATGATTTGTCTTTTGTTTTGATTTCAGCCAAATGCCCTCCATCTCGTAAGTAAAACCTGTTTTTATTTATTTTCAACTGATCTGACACACACTTTATGCTGTAGATTAAACAGGGTTTCACATTATTGTGCAGATGAACTTTTAAAGACTGTTTCCTGTATTTACTGTTTATAAAAGTTGAGTGCAGGATGAGAGGACTTTCACTGTTTGACGCTGTTTGTTTCTGACCTTACAGCTCCTGACGACGGATCGGAGCTCTCTGAGAAACTGAATCCAGAGACCTGATTGTGAAACGCACTCAATGAAGTTCCTTCATATAACACGTGTCACTTTATTTAGCTTTACAGAACTTAGACTAATTAAAACATGCCTTCCTGTCACAAAGTGATGTAGTAGTTTATGGTTTTTATATGTAAATGTTAAATGTAATCGTTTATTTCACATTATTATAATTAATATTCTAAATCTAATATAAAAACAATTTGCTTGATTATTTTTACAAATCAATTCTATTTCTTTTACCCTTCATTTTACATTGATGCAGTAATGTTTTAGATACCATAAATTACTGTTTTTGATCATGTTTGAATTGGTTTTAGAATAACTACAAGAACTATAGGTTTCTGTAAACACTGTATACAATTCTCAAAATCACCTCTTGTTGAAAATATGATCTTTTATAGGTTATAGATTTGGTGCGACAGGTCAGAGGAAAACTTTCTCATACCACAGGTTTTTCAAACGAGTAGCTTTTAGTAAGACTAGTGTAAATAGATAGACAGTGATGGTGGTGGGACTGCTGAGCGGGCCATTGCATTCACATGAAGTTGCAGTTTAGCCTGAGCAGACACAATGTAGATATAAAGCCATGTCATACAGCAAAGTATCTGCTGTTTGCTTGAGTGAATGAAGGATTTAAAGGCAGCTTAGGTTAGGTCGGGTTAGAGACTGTGTGTTGATTGTATAATACTAATAATAATAATAATTCTGTGGCATATTATATCATACCATGTGTTTCCCCAATCAGAGAATCAGAGGCGGAGCTAGAGAAATATCCATGTGTGACAAGAGGTTGGCATGGAGACATTAAGGGGTGGCAGAAACATACACTAATCTAATAACAATCACATATACCAATATTTGCTTGGAAAACCACCCAAATGAAAATATTTAAACTCAAAAACATTACTTTATTGTGGCACAGTAACACCTTGAATAGAACTATAGAACTACATTAGAACTCAATCGTTTTATTTCCAAATGGTCATATTTCCTTTTCTTTCACTAGGTTTAGGATGGGAGATTTGGACTGATTTTACTGTACTGGAACCAGATAGACAGCAATGGTGGTTGGATTACTGAGTGGGCTATCGCATTCAAATGAAGTTTCTTATCAAGTCAGTTGGGCCAACCAATGTAAATGAGCCTGAGCAGATAATATAAATACATTATACATAATATAAAGACAATATAAAAGCTTAAAGTTATGTTAGGTCAGTTAGAGAATGATGTGGGTCAGAGGGGTCCATAGATTAATGACGGCACAGCTTGATACCCACTGCAGGGGCTAATGATAGGTGAAAACATTATTGATCATGAATACTGGCCTTCCTTGGGAATATTCACCTCTGACAAATGCATGTCATAATCAGTTGTAATGCTCTTTATATTGGTGCTGATGTTTCACTTCACAATAAAATACGGAATTTTATGTTTAAAAGTTTGGCTCTTTTTGTCCACATCTGTGACTGTAGTTGCAGTAACATGAATATTAGCTCAGCATCCTGTATACTCACAGAGGACAAAGTTTGCTCCCAGACAAGGTTAGCTTAGCTTAGCATGAATTCTAGGGAGGAAACAGCGAGCCAATAGCTGTGTAAAGAGTGCATTCTAACAACCTCAAAGCTGGCTGTCATGTAAAAAACATTTTCAGGCCAAATGAAATTACAGTGGTGGCCAAAAGGTTAGAGAAGCAAGTTGATGGCTAAACTGTGGTCAGACTGTGCTGGGCAGCTTCCAGGTATGATTGTGTGACTGTGTGAATGCGATCAGGGCGTTCCTCTCAAAAGAGAGCATTGCTCTTAGTGAACCCCTTGAATATATAACTTTTTAAAACTCCACAACTGTAACCCTTTGCTTCTGTTGAGCTCATAGGTTATGTTTAGAAAGATATTGAAACAAAAGATGAAGTAGAAAACTGAGAAACTGAGAGTGAAATACATGTTAAAATACATGATTATTCACAGTCAGTATTTGGGATGGAAGTTAGAAGCAAAATATATACGAGCAACATACAACAATAAACTCTTATATACAAAGGTAATGCATAAGACTATATCATAAAATGTCAGCACTGTTACTATATATTACCCTATATAATTTATATCACCCCTGAAAAAATGCTTGATGCTTTGTTGTGTAATAATGCAGAAGGAGGTCAGTCAGAGAAAGTCAGTGTTCCAACTATTTCTGTATCAAAAGATTTGAAACTTCATAAGTCAAACTTAACAGACTCAACACAAACTCCACCTTAAATCTATGGGGCCAAAACAAAAGCAAAATAAAAACAGAAGCAGGTTTTAATTAACATCTGATGTGTCACATTCTGTTTCTCAAACTGTGTTTTGGACTTTACCTGACAGACAAGTAATAACAGATACAGCAACAACAGGTAACTGACATTTAAATACACACAACCTTTAAAAAATGCTGTGGTTCCATAAATGTTAGAGTTCATAATAATAAAAAACAACAACAACAATAATAGTTAAATTTTTATTATTCAGAGTAAAGGTTTTGTTCACCTAAAAGTGTGTGTGAAATTACAGTACCTTCAAAAGAGCATTCATCTTACATAGACTACTGACAGCCTTTAACTTAACCTCAATATACAATATACACCGTTCTAAATCAAGCTCAAAACATATGTTCTGTTGAAAGTGAGAAACTGAGGGCTGTGATTGTTTCAGGAATACCATCATGAGGTGTGTCCTAATTTCTAGCTTTCTAGCTAGTTATTGGAAACTTTCCACATGACAAGAATTAATGTGGGTGGTTGGCATGATGTGGTTCGGAGCATCAGACACAAATGAATAAAGATAAATATTTGAAGATGATCCTCAGCACTTTGAGTGTTACTAAAGAGTGTTTTCAGAGAGGGCCAAACTCATTCAAAGTCAGGATTTCTAATTTGATTTTTTTCAGTATGACTAAATAAATCATTATCATAATCTGATATTAATTTCTGACCTATTAGAGTTTTAGATGACAGAGATCTGAATCCACACTTAATTATATAAGTTTGTGCTGTTGCAGAGTTGGTTTTAATTCTTACTGTGTGCTATAATACTACAGGTGGTGTTAGTTTTTACTATTTTATATACAGTTAGGTAATCTGGTCCAGTGGTTGTAGAGAGGCCGGGGATCATCAGAGTATTAAAGAAGAAAAAATCAAGTTCCTATACACATATAAGTCATAAGTCAAATATAGAGTATCATAAAATGGTCAAATTCCACTGCTGCCAGAAACAGAAGAATAACTTCACAAAATGAATAATGTCCAATGTGAATTCTGTTTTAATTCTCTTCTGTTAATCTAGATATGATTTATTTTACTTTTGAAGAACTAATAAAATTACTTTGGAAATCTAATTGATGTTTCTTTTATTTATTCATTTATTTGTTCATTTTTGAGTTGGTAGTCTGTTAGGGATTCCTCCAGCTCATGAAATCCCTGCAGCACCTGAAGGCAGCAGGACCTTATTAACCTTTATTAAATCACCTGAATATGACAACAGGCTGCTGATGTGTAACCATACATACCTCTACACCCATCTTTCTGGTTGGTTATAACAGAGAGTACAATGCATGAGTTTGCACCTTTGTAAAACTGCACCTGAATATAAAATCGTCATAACTGCATATTATTAAAATATATAATAATAATAATAATAATAATATTTTTTTAAGAGTAAGTCTGTTTTCTGTGTGTGTGTGTGTGTGTGTGTGTGTGTGTGTGTGTGTGTGTGTTAATCCCTTATGTTAATCCAGATATGAGTTATTTTACTTTTGATGACCAAATAAAACTACATTGGAAATCTAATTAGTGTTTCTTTTATTTATCTCTGTCGTCTGCACGCCAGCAAGTGCTGGACTTTAATTTACCAACAGTATTAATGTGTGCTTTAACATTTAACTGTGAGCTTGTTGGAACAGCTGTCTGGAGGACACCAGGGGTGTTTCTAGACCCCCTGGGGGCCCTAGGCAAGAAGGACCATGGGGCCCCCCAGAATCATGATGAATGAAGTCCAGGACTACGGATCAGTAAAGAAATCTTTCATTAAACAATTAACATATAAAATAAGAAATAAATAACATAACTATCTGAATGCAAACTTTACATACAATATATAAATAACAGAAAAACAAACATAACTGAAATGTGCAAAATTTTCAGAATGATAAAAAAACAACCAAGCAAAAAAACAAACAAACAAGGAATTGAAGTGGAAAGGAAGAACTTAAGACTTGCTGTGACACCTTGGTCCTATATCCACAGTCCAATAGTAGTGCCTTTTTTTTTCTTAAAACTGCTGCTTGCGAACCTTGGCTTCTGCAAATGCAGCCACTATGTCTTCCATATCTATCTCTTTCTATTGAAATCAGTGTCAGTCCTGTGAGCCTCTCCTGTAGAGGTCTGCTGTTGCTGTTGTTGTTGTTGTTGTTGTTGTTGTTGTTGTTGTTGTTGTTGTTGTGGGCCAAAAAACTTCAACAAAGCACCTTGAGGAAGAAAAAAGAAAAGAGCACAATGTATTTGGTTGGCTTGCGTAAAGTAAAGTAAAGAACTGTGCATGCTACACAAACACAACATCTGAGATCTGTATGGAATAATTAATGAACATCCATTTGCAGTTACAACTTTAATGCTTCATGTTAACATTTTATTTAATGTAACATTTAGGCTATAGCAAAACATTTATGGATATATAGGATAGGATATACTTTATTTATTTATTTACTTTATTTTAAGGGAAATTCAGTTGTCCAGCAGCTCACACTTAAAAAACATAATTCCAAATACAAATTAGCACCAGTTTAAACTAAACTGACAGCAGAACTGATGCTGGTATCAGTTTTAACATTTGACAACAAATGCTTTATTCTGGGAGAAAATATCATTGGCATTGGCAGCAAAGGACTAACTTATTGTGTGGCTATGAATGTGTTTAGAAGAAAATGGCTGAATTCACTTTACACTTTAATGTGCAGTAAACTTGTTTGGTGCTTGGTGGATGACTGGGAGTTTGGGATAAAGTAACAGGCTGGCTGGCAGCACTACTTTTTTATAATGTAACACACGTAGCTTACACATTCCCACTTACCCCTGTCACGGTTTTTATTAGTCAGGGGCCCCATTAGGGAGATTCCCGACGTGTCATTGCAGTGTCTACGGGTTTCAAGTTGTGTCGCTGATATGGAGCGATACCACCCGTATTTGACTATCCAGAAACAGGAGATTCATCCTATGGAGGACTGAAAGTGCCACAATTAAATAAATAAATACACCATTAAATAATTACTTAAATGTGTCATTAATTAATTCAAATTGGAATTAAATACATAAATGTGATATTAAATGTGTCATTAATTAATTCAAATACCAATTCATTTAATGTAAAATACATATATCATTATTTCACTATTTACATTTACATTTCATGGTCCTGCGTTGCAGTGCTTCATGAATTACTTAAAACTGTCAAACTCACCCATCAAACTCAGAGGGTGGGGCCAACGCGAATCTAACCTGATCCATTGCTTTGGTCTGAAGTAGAGTGCCTGGAAGATCTTCATGAACTTTCTAGGGCAGAGGTCGCTAACAGGCGAGTCTGGACCCAGACACCGTCCTATGCGGACCCAGACCTATGATCAATTCATTATTGAGGATTCTAAATTTTGATGGGGAGCTCCTATTTTAACCAGCACAGCTTTTTTTGTCTTTACGGTATTTGTTTAGCAGATCAGGAAGCTCACAGACCAATCGCATGCTAGTTAAGCCATCCCACGTGATGCTGCTCAGCCAATCAAATCTGTTTAAACAGCGCGACTGAATACAGAGATGAGAGCGATGAGAGAGGAGAGACAGACGGAAAGAGAAGTCACAGATACATGGAGAGGAAATGGAGAGATGAGTGAGCGCGAGACAACAGAAGATTTATGGCGCTCTCTAAGAAGAGAAAAGTGGATAGAAAATCGAGCTTTTAATGGACAGATTCATTCACATTCATTCTTCCCACTGGGAGCACATAACCAGTGTGTCTCATGTTCAGAGACCGTGGCGCTGATTAAAAGTGCCAGTGTGAAACGCCACTATGAGACAAAACACAAAGTTTTCATCAAACATACCCACTCAAGTCTGAACAAGGTCACAGAAAATAAGCAGGCTCAGATCCCAATATGATCACTCAACCAGTATCCTGACCAGTGTTGGGAGTAACGGCGTTTAAGTATAACGGCGTTATTTTTTCAGTAACGGGGTAATCTAATTAATTACTTTTCCCATCGTTGTAACGCCGTTACCGTTACTGAGAATGTAAAGTGGCGCGTTACTTGCGTTCCTACAATGTGGTGAATGAAGTGCAGCGGTGTCAGGCTTTCTGACAGCCACAAATCAGCTGCCAGCAGAGGGCAGCGTGGTGATGATGATCGGCTGGGTGGGCG